CAAATCGTAGTAGTAGTCGTTTAATTTTCCTTACTTTTACTTCCTCTTTTATGTTTCTTCCATTCACCCACGCAATTAATTGAAACGTTTAATCCTTTCGTTCGTTATCGATAGACAACAAATTGTCCCGTATCGTTGAGAAACGTTGTTGATAACAGTATGAACAAAAGGTTAGATAGGGAGAGAGAAAGAGAAAGAGAGAGAGAGATAGAAAATAATAAATATAAATGAATGAGGTTAGATATTATGAATTATAAGTTGAAAAACTTTGATAAGACAGTGAAAGATAAAGAAATGGATTATGTAGTATAAGAGAATGAATGAACTATATAAGGAAGAGGTGGTGTACAGAGAGAGAGAGAAAGGAAGAAAAGAAGACGCGCACCGCACTCGCGGGGACCGACGTAGCACTCAGCAGCGAAGGTGCTTCAGGTGAGACGCCAGGTGGGTGTCGCACGATGGAAGAAGGCAGCCGGCCTCCTCTCCTTTGCCTGCCCCACCTGACCACCACCACTACCACTACTACCACCACCATCACCATAACCATCACTACGAGTAATATAAGGTTTATGGGAGAATGAGTGGAATCCCATATACTCGCTTCAGTCCCAATCAAGGACTCCCATAGCGCCTCCTTTCTTTCATACTTATACAACAACCTGAAGAAGATTTCTTAAGGCCCCAGTTCGCAGTTCTCTAACTTACCGACCGCGTTCCAAGAATACGCGCTACCACCGCCATTTTATCTCCACTTCGAATTTTCTTTCATTTATTTAACGGTTTCTTATATTAAATTAATTGTTTTTACGAACGATTAGAGTTAATATAAAACGGCACGATGAGGAATTCATTGTGAAAAAGTAAATATACGATTGATCGTAAATAGCTTACTAATGGGGATTTTACGAATTAGGTATGGAGTCTAGATTTCATCGAGTTCATGAAACTTTCATAACGCAATACACCACGATGAAAACTTACTATGACTTTCATGATTGTTTCCATTCGTATGTTTCATCGTCGTCTTCGTCTTCGTCGTCGTAGTTGGTTTTGTTTTACGATGATTATACATAGATTTCTGCAGTACCAACCGATACATTGATATATAGATCGAATCAAAAAAGTAAGTGGACAATAAATGATAAAATAAAATTTACTTTATATTTGTTTTATTATGTGTTTCTTTTTTTTTCTTGGTTTGATATAATTTTCAATGCTTTTATTAGTCAATATAATTATATATATATATATATATATATATATATATATATATATGTAATAATATTCATTTACCGTTCGCCTACTTTTAATTCATCCTGTATGATGTTTCCATCAAGCACGCAAAACTTGTATTTTCTTTTAATTGTTGTACAAACAACGATTCAAATGGAAATAATTATTTATTCGCATTACGATCAACAACCATAATCGTTCCTTATTCTATTAAATTTGACGCCTTATTCAGATATTTGTTCTTCTTTAATATCTCCGTTACCATTTGGATAGTTTGTAGATTGGTAGCTGGCAGAAATAAAATCGACTGATAGTCGTCTTACGTATAAACAAGACTACAAAGCCCAAAGTGAAGAACTTCCTTCGGTTTCGTGACCCGAAGTCATTATATGGCGGAGCATTTTCTCACGAGATACCTCCACTCTAATTATATGTCTAGCTTGCTCCTGAAACCTACAGGTTTATTGTTAAATGTGCCTGGCTCCAACGTATTCGGGATAAAAAAAAAAAAAAAGAATAGAAAATCGAAGAAGAAGAAAAATAAGCACCAAATAAAGATATACAAAAAAGAAAAAAAAAAGAAAATGATCTAATTTTCAACTTCTCTTTACTTACTTTTGTTACGTCTGAAAAGATCCATTTTCGAATCGAATTCGTGCGAAACGGGTTCGTGCGAACTACTGGAAAGAGAAGTTTCGAAATTTCGTTTAAAATCGACAATTCTATTCTCGTAAATACAAAACAATTCGTTTTTGAAAATTCTCGTATGAGAATAATCCGTGAAAAAAAATACGAACGTTTGTGGAAAGTTAATTTAGGAATTTGTACACGTTTACCTGATAGTGAATATCCTCCTGTGCTGTCGATTTAACAGGAGGATCGATTCTAATCCTCTTTTTTTTTTTCTCTTCCTGTTCCTTTTCCTCTCTTTCTTTCTTCCTTTCTCTTTCTCTCTCTCTTTTTTGTTACGTGTCGAAAAATTGACGATGCTGGGCATCCGTTCCCTTCTCAAAAAAAAAACGATTTCTTTTCTTCCCGATATAATTTCAACATTGATTTAATTCTTTTAAAAGCCCCTCGAACAAAAAGAAAATTTTCATTTCTTATATTAGATGGAATTAATCAACTAATGTAATTGGTTGCTAACGAGAGATCTCAAATATTTTACTTCTTTTTTATTTAAAATATTAATACGAATTTTAATTTTTTGGAATACATGTCTACTTGAGAATAAAAATGAAAAATAAAATAAAATAAAAATAAAAATAGCAACTTATTATTTATAATACTTTTGAAGCAAACGATTCAAGGTGCCGTTATTAAATATAACAAAAAAAAATGTTACATATGTAAATCTTATTCAATAACGTTACATTACTTTATGCATTGTCAAGCACGTAGAATTAGTTAATTCCTTCGTAATCGGAACAATGTATTCCTGTTCGCACAACGATACGAATATACGTACGCTTCGTTTCGAACGTGAAAGCATTAAACTGCTTATAATTTATACGAACGAAGTATGATTATGCAGATTGCGCGTATACATTTTGCAATAATCAAGTTGTTCATTCCTCGTTTACATCAGTCTGAGATTTTCGATTAAACTAACGATAGAGATGGAATAAATATATGTATATGGAATAAAAAAAATATTTCAATCAAATTGTAAGAAATATTATCGCGGTATATAAAATCAAATGAAAAAAACGAGATTTAATATTTAAACATTATACCACTTGTATACATTTATATATAACGTTTCTATGTTATCGCTTTATAAAATAAATTAACAATTATAACGCGGCGAACTGAATTGTAAATTGAAAAGAAAAATAAATAAGAATTTCATTTTATATATATATATATATATATGATTTATTTCAAAATAATAATTTATATTAATTCTATTGTAAAATATAAATTTGGAAAAATTGTTTATCAACATTTTTAACCAAACCCTTTTATATCGTAATTACCGGTACACAAATATATTCTAAATGAAAAAAACCATTTACGTTTTTTACTTAAAATTGTACAATCCGATTGTCAGTAGTAAAACACACATTAAATATATGTAAATATATTTATAATGTATATGTTAATTTATATAAAATACACGAATATATTTACAAGTTATATAAACAGAAAATATCTCGTAAATTTTAAACGAAGAATTTAAATTCGTATTACGTTTTAAGGTGTTCTTAATTTTGTCGCAATAAAAAAGAAAAAAGAACAAACAAAGAAAAGAAAAGAAAAGAAAAATATTTTCATCATTTAATCAGAGATATAACGGATAAGATGAAATTAATTGAATACAAATTGACAATTTGTTCAATTTATGAGAAAGTGGAACGGAAGAAAGAAAGAAGAAGAAGAAGAAGGGTGCAGCATTTTCGTTTTCGTTAACGGCCAAGGCGTTGAAATAAAACGCCCATCGAGTTTCGACCTCTCGAGGCCGCGTCTGTGCCTAGAATCATAATTTCAGTATGGAACGAAAGTTCTTGGAAGAATCCCCGAGGCATTCTTCTGCCTACCAACTATCGAAACAGAATATATAAGATTTGATCATTGATAAGGAAAAGGACAAAATTGGACTTTCAGTTTGAGGAGAAAGGAACAAAATTTTTTCCCTCAAAGTTTAACACCCGCGTCTTTATCTTTTTTTTTTTATCCTATTATTGTTAAATATGTTTTGTTTTCCTTTTCTTTTCCCCTAACCTTCTGCAACTTTAAGAATGAATCGATTTGCATCTAATTTTCCAGATTTTATATATACAAGGTCTAACCCGAATGGATTGTACAAACGAAACGAGGGGTGAATTATATCTGAAGTATGTCGGTGTGTGTGTGTGTGTAAAAATAATTTGAAAAAAAAAATTATAATAATATTCTTTCGAGATTGATTTTTTTTTTTTTTATACCGGAACCCCGATAGATCTTATTTTCAAACAATTATTGCAAATAATTATTCTCTTATTTTTTGTTATTATTAGAAACAATAATTATTTCTTAATATATTCATATAAATCTTCAAAGTTATATGTTACATTAAAGGTACCCGACGTCACTGTTTAAGTATACAATTTTCAAATAAGATTCTTTTTCTTTTTTTTATTTCGATTTATATTTACACGAAAATATAATAATAATAATACGATAAAACTTACTTAAATCAAAAGAAAATCCAAACCTATCATATAATAATATATAGAATCACTCTCTCTCATCTTACTTAAATTAATGAAATTTTGTTTCATTTACAATCCTCACATTTTTACAAATATAAATCTCGATCAAATATTCAAATATAATCAAATCACAAGATATCATATTATAACACACATATAACATTATTATTATTCAACAATCTCGCTAGATAATCGATTAAAGAACACATAAAATAATGGATCAACTTGAAAAGAAATGAAGAAGGAATGTCAAAGAAAATGGATGATGGTGGGGGGGGGTGGGGAACAAAAATGGAAAGTGCCTGATTAATTGGTCTCGTAGCTTGTGGCAAAGAGTAGGATACGGGGTTGGGGATTGGGTGTTGAGGGTTGAAGAAAGGGTGGGGTGGGGGGGTAGTGGATTGGATGGAAGCTGAGGGTTGAGAACGAGGATGAAACTGAGGCTGTAGATGAGTCTGTAGATGAGGCTGAGGATGAGAAAAGATATAAAGTATATGTGTGGGGTAGGGGGATGGAAAGGAAGGATAGAAAGGAAGGGTCCCGGCGTCGGGACGCATGCGTCACCATTGGAGCACTTGTTATGGGTGCCTCAGTCTCGGCTCGCCTGGGCTCTAGGCAATATCGTTTACGTTCAAGAATTGCGGTAAGCTCTATACCAGGGAGCCCCGGGAAACGGTCTAAAGATAGAAAAGAGGAAATTACGGGAGGGATAAGGATAACTCTATTTCAACATAAAACAACACAAAAAAAGAAAAACAAGGACACAATAAATAGTCCGAGTTGAACGAGCTAAATTTTTTTCTGTGCAGTGCAAAAGAAAAAAAGAGACAACACGAGAAAGGATTATTTATTTAATAAAACAAACAGAGATAGATAGATAGATAGATAGATAGATAGATAGAAATAAAATATGATTGGTGAATTGTTCGTAAGATTATTTTGTGTGATAAATTGTGAAGAAATATAATAAATAAATAAATAAATAAATAATATATTATATCAATGGACAAGACGAGATTCATATCAGAGAACGATATTGAATGTTGAACAAAAAGATGATGATCAGAATTAAAGGATAATTTTGATTCTTCTATCGGTGTTCTATATAGGTCTTTTTTTTTTTTTAAATTCGTCTATATACACTTAGACTGTTTCCTTTTTTTTTTTTTTTTTAATTCTATTTTCACATATTCTCTTTATGTCTACTTGTGCGGTGTTATGATGAGCAGAAGGAAGAGATATCATTTATAACGGAGAGCTAGCGTCAGGTGCTCTCGATTGGCTGGCTCGATATCAACGAAGATAGGAAGAGAGGACAGGAATCGATTTACAAAAGAGAAAGAGAGATATATATATACATATACACATATATATATACATAGAACGAATTAGCGAGAAAAATGGAAAAGAAAATAATAGGAACAATCGTATCTGAAGAAATGATCGTTCGATGAGGACGTTTGGTAATCTCGAGAAACACGTTAAAAACGAACGAAAGAGAGGAAGAGAGAGAGAGAGAGAGAGAGAAAAAGAGAGAAAGAGGGAGAGAGAGAGAGAAAGAGTGAAAGGTTTCTCCCGCCGATACTCGACCTCCTGTCAATATCATCATCCTCCTTCCCTATACTCGAGAGCAACCACCACTTGTACTTTCTTTACCCCTCCAACAAGTTCGAATTCCTCTAATTCAAAATGAACATTACCGATCCTGACGTATCATAAGTGACGTGTTTCTTTCTCAATTGGTTTTCATCGTCGCCTTTGGATTTATTTTCGATCATCTTTCAAAAATCATATTGATTATTGCTAAAGAAAAAAAAAGATAAGACAACAACCAACCAACAGAAACGAGCTCAACGAGCATCGTATTATCTCCTTGTGTGTGTGTTTTCTTTTTCTTTCCCCCATTTCTTTTATTTTTTTTTTTTTTATTTATTTCTTTTTTTTAAATTCTCTTTTTTTTCCACCCGAATTCGAAGATTTGCGATGAAATCGGTGGAAACTTAGCGACGAGTCACGGACGTGTATCCAATCGGTGTGTCAGAATTTCAAACGACACGTGTGTTGCGTGTTTAAGAAGAAGAAGAAGAAGAGGAGGAGAATAAGAAGAAACAGTGAAAAAGAAAAAGTAAAGAAGGTAAAGAAGAACATTTAGTAGATTTTTGTCGGAATCGCGTTATCGCGTACGCGTGTGCGATGAAATGAGTTAAAAAAAAAAAGAAAAAGAAAAGGGGAAGGTTTTACCTGCCGATTAAAATGACGATCGTCGCGATTTATGTCGATCGTATGACGATCAGTCGTCATCGATGACGACGAATCCATGAAAATTCAATAATATTTCTACAGGATTGACACACTTTTTCGAATCGAACTTTACGCGTTTGCTCTATAAACTGGACCATTAATAATTGACTTAAAAAAAAAGAAGGAAAAGAAAAAAAAGCATAAGCATTTGTTTAAAAAGTAAAACATACGCCCCGTAGGAAGGTGGAACGTTTAAAGTTACGTAATGTTATCGATTTATAACAAACAAGTGGAAAGATACGAGCGTTCGCGATCGATGATCCACCACGATCGTGGATTTGTTCGATCGCCATTTTGAATCTTGTTAGAAGATTCAAATTTTATCACGCGTTTACGTTTGTTCTCGCAAAGTGTGTAAAAATTTAACAAAAACAATAAGAAGAATAAAATAAAAAAATTAATTATTAATCGAGGACACTCGTAAGGGAGAGATAGGATCGGTGATAATAATTACGTATTAAATTAATTTCTTTGGAAAGAAAAAAATGGGCTGCGAACTTAGCAAACTTACAGCCACGAAATCGCGAAATCAAAGTGATCGCGAAGCTTCGCCACCACCACCACCACAAACTACTGTAGATCCGAGACTTCCTTTGACAGCTAGGCAAAAATTTACGGTTATGGCTAGTTGGAGGGCCGTAGGGAGAGCCCTGGAATCTACCGGTGTCTACATGTTCATAAGGTTTGTTATTCATTATTTTCTATATATGCTTATCGAATTCGTAGTATTGCATAAAATCTCTTTGCAAAATGAAATATTTTTGTCATATACTACTACTATATCTTACTATATATATATATATATATATACACACACGCACAGCGTGAGAAATAATCGAATTCGTAGTATCTACATATACTTATCTTCCATTCTTTTTTATTTCTCTTGGTATTACTTTTTTTTTCTTGTTGGGGTGGGGAGGGGGATGGGAAATGAAATGTTGTTTCATCTATTCAATTATCTTTAATCATTAAAATATATATCTACGTTTTCTATCTGTTCTTTTCGATTTTCAACGAGAATACCCAACTAGGAACTATCGAACGTTTGTTCTTTCGTGTTGCTTCTTCTTATTCTTCTGCTTCTTCTTCTTCTTCGAGAGCGCACGTTTCAATTTAAAAATAGAAAGGATCTATAGTTACATGAACTGTAATAGATACACGTCGTTCGATCGATGGTGATATCGTTGAGAGTAGCATATAAATGACAAGTTTGTTGGATCGAACCTCGAACGAGTTACTCTTTGAATAACCGTCCGAATAATGTTCTTCATTGTTCTACGAAAGAACTTGGATAAAATATATTTATAATTATTTTAAATATAAGAAAAATAATATCGTTTTAGATTAAAGGAAAAAAAAAAACATTTCTAAATTGTTTTAACAATGAATTTATTATATTAATAATATTATCGTATTAATTAAATACAATATTTCGAAATCTTTTGTAATATGTAATAATAAAATAAAACAAATTATATATCAGAGAAAGTAAAAAATGAATACAAATAAATATTAGTTCGAGGGGGTGTTGTTTTTTTTTTTCAATATTTTTCAAAATATCATAATATAGAAATGTTTTTTATTTATTTCAATAAATCACCGATGACGTTGGCAAAAAAAATAAAAATGAATCTCAAACATCAATTTCTCGTGTCAGTGTTAGATGTGACGTTAACAATTTTCTTTCTCTTTCTTTCTACAGGTTTATGTGTCACTATCTATCTATTTATCTATCTATCTATCTATCTATCTATCTGTCTATAAATCTATCTATCTTTCTCTTTCCTACGACACCACATACATTTTCCACGGTAGAACAAGCCGTGTTTCTTCGCGTCACGCGCCATTACGTGATTAGCTGAGCGTTTAGGCTCTTCAAGGCCGCCATCAACGTCAAACACAACCCTGAAAGTAGGGTGGATTATTCAGTGAACTACCCTGATCCTTTGCTTTCGAACAACGCCGATGATGTGCTTTACCTCTCTTTCTTTTTCTCTTGAGATGAAGAAGAAGAAGAAGAAGAAGAAGAAAATGATGATGATGATGATGATGATGATGATGAAGGAAAAAAAGAGAGAATCTGGAACGAAAAAAAAAAAAAAGAAACCTTGAATATAATCCAAGTCATAATATATGCATTAAAAATGTATTTTCCCATGATAGAAATTATTTATTTTTATTTTAATCTTATTTTGTTAAATAGAACGATCAAAAAAAAGAATAATATTTTTTATTCAATGTTATAAAAACAAACAATAAAAATCACGCGTATATTTTGTCACATTGTATTGAGATTTCATTGATATATTGATATATTAAATAATTTGGTTTTTTTTTTTTTTTTAACTTTCGGACCTCTAACGGAAGTATACAAAAATTTCTTACCGAAAAGTACCTTGAGGTTTTCCAAGAACAGCCTTTTTACTAGTCGCAATATATCCTTTCGACTTAATTCAACGTGCTTGCGTCGGCTCGCGTGCTCGTTTCGCATCCATAATTGAATTGTTATATATGTATATGTATATATATACACGTTATATACATATAGTATCGAGTAAAGCTTAGCGTGTATAAGTAATACGTTGGTTAGTGTGTTAATATGTATATAAGTATTATAACACAAATAATGTGTGTGTATGTGTGTGTGTATACGTACATACATAGAAGCTAGATATCGTTCCACAAAATTAAACAAAATGTGCCAACGTATTTTGCGATTCAAATTTCTCGCCATGTTATATATTCAATTTCTCTCACTCTCACTCTCTCTTTTTGCAATTCTATTATGTATATAACGTTATTAAACTAATGAAAGTTATTTTGTTCTATTCTATTCGATAAATGCGAGAACAGATATGTATTTATAAAATTCATTTTGAAAGATTAATTTCATTCGTGTCAGAGTTATGATTAAAAATTAATCAAACGATTAAACAATAATTTCAATCCTATCGATTATATCATTAAATTACTAATCATTCTTTTGATTTTTGGTTTAGATTGTTTTTTTTTTTCAATGCGTTTTTTGAATGACGTATTAGTATTGGTTTATAAATTATTGATATTTGTTTTATCAATTGTTCTATATAAATAAATTGACGTGTTTTCTTGATGTCACATTTGTCAATTCAATTCGTCGTTGTTTCAAGTCGTAACGGGGGTAAAAACGTATAATAATAGTTTCACAAACATTACGTACCAATAGAATGAATCAAAAGAGGGTCAGGGATTATTCCCCTAATGCATTTTTAGTTTCTTTTTTTTTGTATTCACCCTTGTGTGACCGAAATCATACGCATCTCTCATATCTGTTGAACAACCTCTTAAATACTTCATCCATTAAAAATGTATTTTTTTTTTCTTTCTTTTTTTTTGCGAACGATCAAAAACACGTTTACGTTTGACTTTAAAAAATCTTTTTTTTTTTTTCAAGTGTACTTCAGAAAATAAGTATTTCCTTCCCCCCCCCCCCCCTCCCTCTCTCTTTTTCTCTCTTTCTTTTTTTTTGTTTTCTTTCTTTAAGATCTCTACACACGTTGACACATGTAGCGATGCATAAATCGACACCTTGGTTATCATGAAACCTGCATCAGTTTAAGTTTGCCTGAACATTACCAATTCTATTAAGTTTGTCGAACGTTATCAACGTTAAAACATGTACGTACGTACGTGTTCTTTGTTTTCTATACATCGATACAATTTATTTCAGATATTGAAATATTATTAACATATATTACAACCAACACGTGTATACTCAAACTTCTAATAGAAAAAACACAGTAGTATTTTAAAAAAATATCATTTCGATATAAGAAAATTCATAAAAATTCATGACACCAACGTGTAACACAATTTTTCCTTATATTAAATTAAAAACACAATATTTTCATATAACACAAATTTCGTTCTAAACACGATCTCAATACGAAACACGAAACCAAATAACCGTGTAAACATGGAGTGGTTTAAGTTATCGCGAAACTCATGAAATCAGTGCACACATAACCCAAATATGTTACTAATACGAAAACATTTAAAATTCAAAGTCTATATATACATATACAGATGATAAATTATCACATATCATTTTTATATTGTTTGCCTACCCGTCTACTTATCTGTCCTCTCTTGTTTATCTGTAAAATAATTATTAAAAAAAAAAAAAAAAAAATAAAAAGGGGTGTAGGTATGTGTGTGTGTGTGTGCATATCAACGTTTTGTTGTTATGAAGTTACAATATCGAACAGTGGAATTTTTCGAACGTGTTTTTTTATCTTTTTCATTCTCTCTCTCTCTCTCACTCTCTCTCACTCTCTCGTCTTTCTCTTTCCCCTTTCCATCTCTCTCTCTGTCTCTCTCACTCTCACTCCCTCGAAAGTGCGTAACGATTTTCGATAGCGCAGGAGTAATAGCGAGGTAGGAATGAGGCCGAGGTTCACAGCACAAACGTCGTTGGTACTTACTTCGGGGAAGTATCATAGAAATTTTGACGTTCGTCGCGAAATATCATTGATCGGTTCGTTTTAATCGAGAAAAAAAAAAAGAAAAAGAAGGGGTTCATTTTTGATTCGCAAACAATATATCTTCTCTCTCTCTCTCTGTCTCTGTTTTTTTTTCTTTCTTTTATTTCTCCCCCTTTACCCCAACCCCACGATCACCCTTCCCATTCTATTTTTTCTCTCATTTTCTCGATTTCGTTTTCCCGCTAGTTCAATTCAATTTATCGCAGTCAAATAATATAGGGCGTAGTACCGTCTTCAACGAAAAATATATAGTAGGGGTAATGTCTGTAAATTGTAATAAACATCGGTAACGATAATGTTGTCGATAAAACAGGACCAATAGTCAAAGATATTTTTGTTTCTTTTTTTTGCGTTACTAGCCTAATCTCTAATGCCATGCATTCCGTAATTATTAATATAATAATTGTCTGTTCTTTTTTTCTTGTATTTGTTTTGTTTTGTAGATTTTCATCATAGGTTAAAACACGTTTCGCGTATTGATTATTATTTTGAATCTTGGTCACGTGAAAATTATATAAAATAAGAAACGAAAATATACTTTATATCTCATTATTATAAATATAATTTATTATTAGAGATTTGATTTTTATAATAATATCAATGTCATAATAAATAAAGTATTCCGTTTTTATAAAATACTTTAATTAAAAGTATTCACCATTCCAAGGGTTCAAATATTGAAACATACGTAGGGTAACTTTGGGTTCTTTCTTTCTTTTCTCCCCTTTTCTTTTTTTTTTTTCTTTTTTTTCTTTTATCGTTCATCTATGATACAAATATTCCTACTCGTTCGCAGAATTTTTCATCTCTTCCATTATCTTTTGATTTTTTTTTTCTTTTTTAACTCGTTTTTGCGCAAAAACGAACAATAGATTTTCTAATATTCGTAGGAGAACCTAGGTAATCATTATACGAATTATTTTACAAGAGAATCATGATTTCACATCAGAACGATTTCATCAACGCGAATACCATCGAGTTGCTTCATTTTCTTGTTCCTTTCTTTTCAGTTCTTGTTTCTTTTTACACGTAGGAAAAAGAAATTGCAATGCTGCAAATTATGCATCTCCTCAATTTTTTTGAAAAGTTGTGGTACATATTTTTTATACTAAGAGTGAATAGATTTGAATAAAACTTATATTAAATTAAAGTACACTCTTTTGTCTACGCGTAGAATATCATATCGAGTTATAAATTCGTCTGCAAAAGTTCAAAAAATGTCAGAGAATGCAATGCAGTAAATTGTGCATCTTTGCAATTTCTTTGAAAAGTTTCGATAAATATTTTTTATACTAAAAGTGAATAGATTTTAATGAAACTTATATTAAATTAAAGTACACTCTTTTGTCTACACGTAGAACAACATATCGAATTATAAATTTAGCATGTAAAGTTCAGTAAATGTCAGAGAACGCAATGCTGTATATAGTGCATTTTTGCAATTTCTTTGAAAAATTTTGGTAAATATTTTTTCTACTAAAAGTGAATAGATTTGAATGAAACTTATATTAAATTAAAGTAAACTCTTTTGTCTACGCGTAGAATACCTTTTCGAGTTATAAATCAATTTGCAAAGGTTTAGAAAATATCAGAGAATGCAATGCTGTTAATTGTGCATTTTTGCAATTTCTTTGCAAAGTTTCGGTAAATATTTTTTATACTTTTAGCAAACAGATTTTAATGATTTTTATATTAAATTAAAGTACATTCTTTTATCTACGCGTAGAATACTATATTGAGTAATAAATCAATCTAAAAACGTTCATAAAATGTCAGAGAATGCAATACTGTAGATTGTGTATCTTTGCAATTTCTTTGAAAAGTTTCGATAAATATCTTTTATACTAAGAGTGAATAGATTTTAATGACTCTTATATTATATATATATATATAGTTAAAAAAAAGTATTTGTTAGTCCGACAAACTCGTGACGATTCGTTTATTAACGTAATAAAAATTTGTATAATATATATATATCAAATGGTGTATTTATAGATCTCTCTACGTGAATTTTTGGGGAAAGGAAATAAAATGAAATAAGCGTATCTGGTTGGATGATAAAATTTGTATCATCGTATCATCGTTATTTAGACAGGAACGTAAACTAAGTTACAGGATGATTAAATCTGAAATGAAGTTTACGGTAAAGCTAGTAATCATCAAGACACCCTTAATTTTTCTTTAATCATGTCGTTACAACGTAATTTTCTTCCCACTCTATATATATATCTCTCTCTCTCACTCACTCTTTCTGGTAACTGGCAAGATTACGATGATGAGTAAAACTACTAGGTCCAAGTTAGTTCGTTCAAGATAAAATTACACTAATCGGAAGAAAATTTAGCAAAGGCTCGTACAAACTCATTCCAATTTCTCCAACAAGGCACTCCACATTGATTTCTGGGGATTTGCGGAGGCTGAGCGTTAGAAAAGGTCTCGGAAAGTTTGAAGGGAATTAAAAAGAGAGAGAGAGAGAGAGAGAAAAAGATAGAACACGAATGAGTTCGAACAATTTGCAGTTTCTGTCTACTTACAAGAGAAGATAATTGAAATTGAAAGTTGCAATCCAAAAATTTCATATTACCTAGTTAGCTTGAAACTTAGGTGCAATTAATTCCCATCATTTTTCGTACTATTCCGTTTAACACACGTCCTTATCTTTAAATTCGATATTAAATTTACGGTTACTTGACTCGTTTATAAACCGTCGAGTCATCCGATAGACAACGTTCAGAGGGTCAGTTGTTTTCTTATTTTGTTTTATTTTTTCTTTTTATTTTTTCTCTTTCTTTCTTTCTTTCACTCACCTATTTATTTTTAACGCTAACATATACTTCGAGTACGGCTACGACATTTAAAAATATCTTTTGTCATTATAATATCTTTTCTATCTTTCAGACTACGAAACCTTTTTATTGTTTTTTTTCTTTTATAGTATAATTTACTTACGATACGATGATAGTTTTACAAAGGTATTTATAAAAATGGGAAAAGTTACTTTTTGTGTTTTTGAATTTACGAAACGTGTATATTAGAAATAAAGTAGAAAGAATTGATAAAAGTTTTGTCATTATTAATATATTATACTAACGATAAGTTTTATTGCAAAAAAAAGAAAAAAAATCAAAAAAGAAAAAGAAAAGAAAATGTAGAAATTATACATGAAAATATAACGAATAAGGAAAGTAAATAGGTTTAGGTTATCGTAGAAAAAGTTCTTCTCATATATATATTTATACAATATTTTATCGAGAAAATAAAAGTCAAACGAGAAGAAAAGTTCCTTATCTCGTGCTGGCAAGCAAAGTTACCAAGTTTAAATAAGACTCTTTGGAAAAATAATTTTTGTTCCTTGAAGTAAAAATTTTTACTTTCCCGCGCGTAATTTCCCTAGCAAATTTAAAAAAAAAGGATCTTTTTGTATCCGCATAGAGGATCATTTTTTAATGTTACGAAAGTTGAAAGGAAAAAAAAAATAGAGAAAAAAAAAAGAAAAAAAGATTACTTTCAGTATAGATCGTAGATAAATGATGTATTTGAAAAGAGACGATAACTCGATTATTAATTAAATTGCAATCGGAAGAAGTCCTTCAAACACTGTTCAGCACTTTGATCGTATCGCTTCGTTGCTTTCATAGTACTAACTAATACATTTAATGTCTACCATCCTAAAATAAATTGCAACATTTTTACTAACAACTATTACTTATTATTATCATTTTTTCTTTTACTATTTTCTTTCAACCCTATCCCCTATTTTATCAATCTTAAAATTTTATCTCGCGTGAAGACACAAGAATGATTCTTTTTTTGTAATAAATATATTTTTTTTTTCTTTCTTAATATACATACCACATACTACTTCTTTTTCAAGCATGATAGAAAAATTATAATAGTAGCGGGATGGAATTGATAATTTGTCGAATTTTCAAAAAATATCTTCCTTTTTTTCTGTCGTCATAGTAGCGATCATGTTTGTAGTTAGCTTTTAACGTAACATAATTAAATTCGATCGTGTTATTTATGTATGTCGTATAAGCGAGCGAGCGAGAGAGAGAGAGAGAGACGCGAGGAACGTAACTACGTTCCTTTGCTCCAACACAACAGCTTCGGAAATCAATAAACGATGTAGTAGTAGATGTGCGCCAATGTATCGACCTATCGTTGACAACTATAATTGTTTTCTTCTTTTTCTTTCTTTTTTATATTTTGATTTGTTTTATATATATATATATATATATATATATAACGAAAGAAAGAAAGAGATAGATAGAAAATATCTGTATAATAATTATTATTTCGTTCTATTTATTTTCTTTCGAACTTTTCTTCGTATTCAATTAACATATTACAACGTATTGATTAAATTCATTTTGTTGATACTGTTTAATAGAAAAACAAAAATAAAAAATTCATAAAAATAATCTATACCAATTGTTTTTATCGATAATTGCAATTACATCGGATAAAAAAAATTAAATGCATTGCCGTTTATTGATTTGCATGTTAATAGAAATTTCTTATTACTCGTGCAAGTAACAATCAAGGCTGTTAATTATCGAACAAATAAATACGAATTACAAAATATCATTAGTATACAATACGTATTTATTATTTGTATTTTTTTAATAAATACAATTTGTTCGCACCGTGGTTAGAAATTATTTTCACGATTATTAATAATAATATCATAGATATTAATGAAAATCATCAGCTATCGATTGTTCATTTGAATATGTCTCGTGACAATGGTCTTGGAGAATAATAGGGTTGGGAATAGCGTGAATCTAATCGATCTAATTAATCAGACCCATTCCTTGAGGTTAGCTCGGCGGCTTGTGATCGAATTCGTGACGATAATGCAGAATTAATTTGCGTCTTGTCTTTGATTAATTGTAAGTGAAATTACACGTATCCGTTTATCAATTATTGTAATCGATTTGATCAGAAAATCAATTGTTTTTTCCGATTGAAACAAATAAAAAATATTTAAATAAATACGTAGGTATATTCTACCCCCTCTCCCCCTCCCCCTCCAAAAAAAATAGAACAAAAAAATATGTAATAATAATAATAATAATAATAATAATAATAATAAATTGAATTGTCGACACGCATATAATGCAATTTGACGATAAATATTTGTAATTGCAGATTATTCGAGGAAAATACAGATCTATTGGATCTCTTCACTAAATTTCGTGATATGAGAACGAAGGAACAACAATCGTCGAGCATGGAATTGGCCGAACATGCAAAAACGGTCATGATGACTCTCGATGAAGGAATTAAGTGTTTAGACGACATGGATACATTTCTGACGTACCTGCATGAGGTTGGTGCATCGCACACTAAAATTCCGGGCTTCGATCGACAATATTTTTGGGTATGTCCCAAAATTATTTATACATCTAATCGCAATTTCTTTTTATTTTTTATTTTGTATTAAACGTAACATTTAACACATCCCTTCAAATATAATTTGCAAATTAGATTATTATTTTGAATACATTAACATTACAGTGATCTATCTTACCGACGATCATGAACGACAGAAATTGTGCGAAAATATTTTTGACGAACATAATTTTGTTTATTTGTGTATTTTTATTTATACATATATATATATATTTATAGAAACTCTCTATGCACACATTAAATTCATTTTATTTCCATTCGTTTTCTCTCTCTCTCTCTCTCTTTCTCTTTTTATATCTTCCTTCAATTTCGAATCTCTCTTTTTGTAAGAAGATAAGCGAAAAACGGAAGATCTGTTTTCAGAAAATCGAGAAGCCCTTCCTAGATGCAGTGGAACGAACGTTGGAAGAACGTTATTCGGAGAATGTTAAAAACATCTACAAGTTGACGATCAAGTTCATCATCGAAACGCTTATAGATGGCTTTGACGAAGCACAAAGCGAAAAGGCCAAGTCCTAGTCGTATTCATTTGATGAGAATCGACATCCTTAAAAGCGTCCTTTCTTTCTCTCTCTCTCTCTCTCTCTCCATCTCTCTCTCTCTTTCTCTCTTTCTCTTTTTCTCTCTTTCTATCTCGTTCTATCTCACGCACCCGATGTATTCGAATATACGTTTCAAATAAACGCAAACATACACACACACACAATCACACACGTTACTCGGCATATATAGACAATACGTAATCGAGGAAAAAGTTTCATAGAAAAGGGGGATTTACTCGTATTACGTATTACGTATTTTTGCGATCGATCCGATCGTCTCGTCAAAAAAAAAAAAAAGAAATTAAAAAGAAGATAAAAAGAAAACGGAAAATATCGACGGTGCCAAGCGATTTGTCGGCCATCTTGTTTCCTTCCTTTCAAGACGTCGTCGTCGTCAGAGCTTTTTCTTTTTTCGACAAAACTTTTTGGGACAAATGAAAGGAGAGAGAGAGAGATCGTTTGGGAAAGGAAGATAAAGAAGAAGTAAAAAAAAAAAGAAAGGAGAGAAAAATAAATAATAAAGCAAAAAAGAGATAAAAAAAAATGACCGACATTTATAGGCGTAGACGAGAAATGATATCAGTAAAGGTCGCGTCCTCGGTCGATAAAGAGAATTTGCACGAGCGTCTGTCCTTTTTTAATTACGCTCGCTCGTTGTATGAATCTATGAATGTATGTATGTATGTATATGTATGTATGATGTGTATGAATGTAAGAAGTATGTAAGTATGCATCTATGAATATATGATGTGTAGATGTATGATTATGATGTACCTCGTATACGTGTATGTGTATACGTGTTTACACGTATACACATTATCAACTTTTATACAGTGTACGTCTCGAGAAGATTCGTCTCGTCTGAGTTCTCGAGAAAAGAAAAGAAAAAAAAAGAAAAGAAAAAAAGGGAATGAAGAAGAAAAGAAAAATCATGTATGCGGTAGTACTATATAGCCAGTTGGCTTAAGAAAATGGTCAAAAACATAATTTTATGGACGACATCGTTCTTCGATTTAAGAGAAAACTTTGTTCATAATTTTATCTCTTGAAAAAACAACAGTGGGTTTATACCGATTCGCGTGTTCGAACCATTTTATTTTGAGGTTAGAACGTTTCCCGTGCATTTTATTAATATAATATTTCCTTTTTTTATTTTTGGAAAATTTAAGACACGATTTTTCTATAAGATATTATTCTAACATAGTTTATACTAGTATTTATCTTATTTCTTATGCTAATAAACAATTATATAATTCAGTTTTGTAATGAAACGATTGCGCAGACCACGTTGCGTAGTATATCTTGCGCAGTACAACTTGCGCAGAAGGAACGAAGAAATTTTGAACATTTATTTATTTCATCGATGACTCTTAGACTTATGTAAACTTGCAATATAGTACTATTATTCATAAAACAAGAATATATAAAAAGGCAGGAAAATATCGTGGAAGAAAAATTTCAAATATTTCGCGAGTAAGTAAATAAATAAATAAATAAATAAATAAGTAAGTAAGTACCTAACCTTTATCGACGTAACCGAGGTTGAAAGATTTTACTATGTATTATGATAAACATATACATATTATATTTGAATATGAGCGTGAGCCACAGTCTTTGGCCGATTCTAAATATTGCGCGCGTGTATGTATGTATTGTACAACAAACGTACGTTTTTACACGTAATTAAATAAGTCTAAAGAGACTCAAGAGGAACAAGAAGAAACAAAAGAAGAAGAAAAAACAGAAGATGATGATGATGATGATGATGAAATAAAAAGAATATAAGGAACAACAAAAAATAAAGAAAGGGTGGATAATTTGAGATACACTCTTTCTTATAATGTCAATTCCCTATATATATATATATCTATACAATGTATATGTATACAGGGTATATCCGAAAAAAGAACGATAAAACCGAATGAAGATGATTCTACGTGTAACAATAAATAATACAAAAAAATAAAAGTAACACTTTATCAAACGAACAATCAGGTAAGATCTGATTCTACATTTAACCCTTTCAATACGAACACCAACTATAAATTGCATTTCACATTATACCTTTGTATCAATGGGAGACCCGTTCAATCGAAAAAGGGATGTCAAACGAAACAAAATTGTACTTCTTTCGTTCGTCCTATCCGTAGAATCATCACCTGTCCGGTTTAACGAAAACTTTCTGATATACCCTGTTTATATATACACATATACACATTTTCTTCTCAATTAATTTATTTCTGTCGATATTCACGTCTTTACCGATCGCAACATCCTAATTGCGGATGATATAATACAAGAACGCGATAACGATATATGTTATTATATTTTTTTTTGTTCCCATTTCCTATCGAAAAAAAATAAGAAAGAGAAAGAGAGAGAGGGAGAAAAAAAAAAGTAATAATATTAATAATAAATGTTGAAACTTCGTCGTGTTTCCGTCGTCGTCGTCGTCGTCGTTCGTTTTTGATTAGTGCGATCAGCATGGGAAACATCAGGAATCATGCTCGTATCACATAAATACATATATATGTATTTTACCTGAGAATGCGTGTTCAATATGATGAGGAGTATAAGAAAAGAGATTCTCGTACGTGTTCCATTATCCTCGACTTTATGGCGTGCATGCGCAAAAGGTGAAACAAAGTAATACTTATATACGTATGTATGTATGTATGTATGTATGTATGTATGTATTTATCTACGAGAGTAAGAGAAATGTTGGATATAAAGAAAAGAATACAAAAATAAGAGGGATTGATAAAGAGATGAAAAGAAAAAAAATAGAATTATGGGAGAAATACAAATTCATATTTTTCAAAGTGTCAATGCGAAAAAAAAATCCAAATTTGCCAAATTTATTCGCATCTCTTTCGATCTTGGAGATTTTAACTTGACAATAATTACGGTAATTATATTACTTTTTTTTTGTGTGTGTGTTGCAAGCTGCAATATTTAATTGACTATTTCAAATAGGTAAAATAAAAGACGAAATATGGCTGTTTTAAAATAAAACGAAAACAACATTATTTGGAAGTACAAAACGGTGAAATAAAATAATAATAATATTTCAAAAGGGATTAATTTATCGACTTGCATCGTACAATTTGTTTTGTTCCTTTATTTTGTATTTATAAGTATTGCAATGTCGATCAAAAAAATTCTTATCGAGAATGAACGTTCAACTCGAACGACGCGCGTTAATAACGGCGAGAAAAATTAAAAAAAAAAAAAAAAAGAAAAAGAAAATATATATTAAAGAGTGGAGACACACGAGGCCGTGACGTAAAAGAATAAATGTAATTTTTGTAGCGTGAAAGAGAATTAAAAAAAATAAAGTAAGAAAGTAAGTAAATAAGTAAGTAACTAAGTAAGTAAGTAAGTAAGAAAGAAAGAACGAACGAGCGAATGAAAAAGGAACAAATGCACACAAAAAGTCGTACCTTCCTTTTTTCTCCAATATGTGGGAGACCTATGTAACCGAATGTCTTCATTAAAAGCGCAAGAGACGCATTATAAATACAAGGATTGCATAATAAATAAAGGAATAAAGAAAATAAATGAATAATAAAAAAGAAAAACCAAATAAAAAAAAAAAAAAAAAGAAAGAAATATAAATATTTATATATTATAAATATAAAATAAATATATATATATATATATATATATATATATACGCGTACATAAAGAACAACACAGATTAAAACACAGATGTATTTATTGTATCCAATGGAGAAACAAAATGAAAACGGAAAGAGAGTCATAATGCCAATAATGTCATTTTTGTACTTGCTCGTACAGGAGAAGAGGGACCTCTTTGACCCTTTTTAAAAGACGTCACATTTAACATTTCATTTAAAAATTCATCCTCTCGCAGCTGATTAATAACGGGCCTTCACGGAATAGTCTATTCTATTTGGGTTAAGCACGTAGGCTCGCTAATAATAAGGTTAGAACATTTTGCTAACTGGCTCCAACTATTATTGACCGTTCAAAAAATGCGACCATTTGGAACAGGGTACTGAAGATGATATTTTTTGCTGTGTCTGTTTAACGACAAATGTCAAATCACCATTTATATTTTCGTTTATACCTAAGTTAATCAAAAGAAAGCAGTAATATAACGAAAACTAAATGTCCAATCGTTTTCCTCGCTCTGCTTTTATTTACTTTTCTTTTTTATTTTTTTTTTTGTATTCTCTTATTTTAGAAATGAAATTTGTTAAATATATTTACAATTAAATTAATTGTTTTATAAGTTCTTATTTATATTTACATTTTATCATATATTATTGTACGAATAATGAATTATTTACAAATACGATATATATATATATATATCAATCGCGTCAAATGAAAAACCATGGATGATGATGAACGTTTTTATCGAAAAAAAAACTTCAAAAAAAAAAAAAGAAACATCCCACGCGAGCTTCGTGCTCGGGATTAAAAAAACTCTATCGAAGTAAAATAAATGTGCTTTTGTTATATAAAATCTTGTTCATTTTTAATCGACTTTGACATTATATATTATATATTATATCTATTCGAAGTTTAAAATGCGCGTATTCCTTATACGCGACGCCCATGTAACTCTTTACCTAGAATGATTTTTTTTTTCTTCAACTTTGCGCGCAACCCCGATACTCGTCGTTTTAATTTGTATGCCAATCCAGATTAATTGTTTTTATCCAGGATGGGATAAGAGTTTGACTATTTTAAGAACAAATCAATAAAACAAGAGTCTCCAGACATTAAGATAAGAAATGGTATTACGAAAGTGATATTAACAATAGTTGGTAAAATCAATGCTAATATGATGACCAGTATTATGAATATTACGTCGAAATAAATGTATAATATAAGAGCCTTTTATTAAATAACCCTAAAAATATTTAATAATAAAATGAAAAAAAAAATAAAGAAAAAAAAACATAAGAATAAACGTATTTCACAATTACAGCGCACATGGGCTTATATTTGTTTTAAATAAATAGAAAAATATAGTCGAATATCGTTTCTATGTTACATTTGAATAGTTTACAGTTTACCATTATTTTTCTACCATACCAACAGTAAGAAATTATCAATGATTCCTACCGTATCAACTGTCAAATTCTACAATACCAGCTGTTTATTATCAATTTTGATTATATCAAATGTGTATAATTATTGACGATTCCTGCTAATACCGACAATAAGTAATTTTATAATTTAATTCTAACAATTGTCGATAGTTGGTATCTTTTAAATAAAAGATTTCCACTTTATCTTTAACAATTGATAATATCTCAATTACAGATTTCTA